TCCTGTGCCCCGTGATGTGCAGGGCTGGACGTGTGGGCTCCGGGCTGGACGTGTGGGCTCTATCTCACACACGTGCCGCGGGACATATGGGCTCTGTACGGTGTGAAGTGGCCCAGGGATGGATTCAGCAGGTCCAGGTGACCTCGCTGGAAGGTGCCCCAGTACCCTGCAGGTCTCCAGCCCCTCACCCCGGCCTCGGGGTGCTGCGGGGCAGTGCGGGGGGCGGCGGGTGGAGCGGGGCGGGGGCCGACAGCGGGTGCCGGGAGTTATCAGCGGGGTGCAGCCCGGTGCACCGGGCTGATGCAAGAGCCGCCGGCGGGGCTGGGGGGGCCGAGGGGGCCCGGGACAGGCCGGTCTGGGGGGCCGGGGGCCGCCGGCCCCGGGGCCAGGCGGGGCAGGAAGGAGGAGGCCGGGTCCGGAGCCGGCCGTCGGTCCCGTGGCCCCGCCGCGGCTCCTGCGCCCCACCGGGGATCCCGTGGCCCCACCGGGGATCCCGTGGCCTCCCGCCGGGTGTCCAGGATCCCACCCTGGCTCCCGCCGCCCCCCGTCTGGGAGCGAGCTCCTGCATCACCCCGGTGAGATCTGGGGGGGCTGGTTCCCTCCGAAGCCCCCCTGCCCTGCCCTTGCCCCTGAGCCCCCCTGAGGGGTCCCTGGGCCGGGGTGGCGGGGGGACAGCAGAGGTCCTTGGTCCTCCCAAAATGCGGGGGACCCCACGAGGGTCTGGAACAAGGGGTCTGGGAGTCTCAGGGCAGGACACCCCCTCCCAGAGGCTCTGGGCTGGGGGACAAGTGCAGGGTCATGGGGTGGGGGGGTTAAGGGGAATGGGGGCTCCGGACCCCCGGGTCCCTCCGGGGCTGCCCCGGGGGGGCAAAAGGGGGTGCAGTGCGGGGACAGGGCGCCCCCTGGCGGTTGTCCCCCGGCACAGCCCTGGGGCAGCTGCGGGAGGGGAATGGGGGGCACAGCCCGGGGGGTGGCAAAGTGGGGGCCAGGGGGGTGCAGGAACTGGGTGCTGAAGAGGATTTGGGTGCTAATGGGGGGGCGGCAGCAGGGGCCTCCTCAGCTGTGCACCCTGGGGGGCTCTGGGGCGCTCACACTGTCCTGTTTTGGGGTGTCCTGTGAGCCCAGCTGTGCCACAGTTTCCCTTTCTCCCCCCTGCACTGTGCCACGGGGTTGGGGGGGGGGCGGTTGCTGTGGGACCTGGGCACTGTGTGTGGGACCCTTGTGGGACCTGGGCACCGTGTGTGGGACCCCAGTCCCTGTGTGTGAGTCTATATGGGACCCCCACCCATGTGCAAGGGGTCATGTGGGACCCCAGTCCCTGGGTGTGGGTCTGTACAGGACCCGACCCCCGGGCACAGGGCATGGTGTGCATGGGCATGGGTGGGCCAGGGCAGGATGCCACGTCCCTGGTGGGAAGCTGTCGGGGCTCTGCCGCCGCCTGACGTTGGTTCCCATCCTGGATGGCGACAGGGCAGGGCACGACTTCCCTGGGGACCCCCAACCCCGGGACCTCCCAGCCCGTGGGGAGCAGTTTAGGCAGGCAG